ACAGCCATGAGTTTGATCCTCACGTAGCTCAAGGTTGACTCAGTCTTCCATCCTTTCAAGGTTGATAAGAGAACCCAGATTGTTGGGGGCAATACGTTGACTCTGTAAACCACTTACAGAGTACTGTAAACCATTATATAAGTCTAAACACTATTTATATATATATATTGTGTGTGTGTGTGTGTGTGTGTGTGTGTGTGTGTGTATACAGCTCACCAGTTCAATTATATATATATATAATTATTCAGCTTTGTTATTCAGCTTTGTTCGGGTATTTTCCCACGTCATTATAGTTGTGCTTTTAAAGTTGTAGCAACATTTCGGCAGAATCTCATCTGCCATCATTAGGCTTCTGTATTGTGTTCGTCTGTGAGTCAGACTTTTACAGTTGTTTCAGTTGACCTGGAAAACCAAGGCATATACGAAGTCCCCTGTGCATCATGCCCAGCCACATACATTGGACATCCAATAGAAGAATAAGTACCCGCCTGGATGAACACAAAAATGCAGTAAAAAAGCTGGAACACACTTCCTCACTAGTCCAATACATGAAAGCCACAGGTCATAGCATCAACTTCAATGGCACCAAAATCCTAGCCACTATAGAAAACCCTAATCACAGAATTATCAGAGAAGCCATAGAGATTGAAAAAAGACCTGAAAGCATGAATAGAAGAGATGATTCCACCAGACTGTCAATCATTTGGAAGCCTGCACTCACAAACAAAAAAATCTCCATACCACAAGCCAGGCAAACCCCAGGGCACAAACAGATCCCCCCTGATACCTCCAGCTCAAACACACCCCAACCAGGCACCCAGATGAAACCTAGCTTCCTAACAAATGATAACCGTCCATTTACTCGGAGCCAAGCTGCACTAAAAGCCTCCAATACAGGAACACAATGTTGCCAGCCAATCAAGGCACAAAAAAAGCCACAAAACAGACAGAAGATATTAGAAACATCAATCAAGCAGAACACAGCAAACTCCAAGACCAATAAACACAGACCAAGACTCCCAACCAATCAGGATGAAGAAAAAACCATTCTGGCACAGCAGTAGGCTAGCTCCAAATTTAAAACTGAAACAACTGTAAAAGTCTGACTCACATACGAACACAATACAGAAGCCTGATGATGGCAGATGAGATTCTGCCGAAACGTTGCTACAACTTTAAAAGCACAACTATAATAACGTGGGAAAATACCCGAACAAAGCTGAATAACATACATATAAGTACCCACGAAAACTTAAGAATGAATATAACCAAGGCATATACGAAGTCCCCTGTGCATCATGCCCGGCCACATACATTGGACAGACCAATAAAAGAATAAGCACCCGCCTGGATGAACACAAAAATGCAGTCAAAAAGCTGGAACACACTTCCTCACTAGTCCAACACATGGAAGCCACAGGTCATAGCATCAACTTCAATGGCACCAAAACCCTAGCCACTATAGAAAATTCCAGCCACAGAATCATCAGAGAAGCCATAGAGATTGAAAAAAAGATCAGAAAGCATGAACAGAAGAGATGATTCCACCAGGCTGTCAATCATTTGGAAGCCTGCACTCACAAACAAAAAAATCTCCACACCACAAGCCAGGCAAACACCTGGGCACAAACAGATCCCCCCTGATACCTCCAGCTCAAACACATCCCAACCAGGCACCCAGATGAAACCCAGCTTCCTAACTAATGATAGCCGTCCATTTACCCGAAGCCAAGCTGCACTAAAGACCTCCAATAAAGTAACACAATGCTGCCAGCCAATCAAGATACAAAAAGAGCCAAAAAACAGACAGAAGATATTAGAGACACCAATCAAGCAGAACACAGCAAACTCCGAGACCAATAAACACAGACCAAGACTCCCAACCAATCAGGATGAAGAAAAAACCATTCTGGCACAGCAATAGACTGCCCCAAATTTAAATCTGAAACCACTGTAAAAGTCTGACTCACAGACGGACACAATACAGAAGCCTGATGATGGCAGATGAGATTCTGCTGAAACGTTGCTACAACTTTAAAAGCACAACTATAATGACGTGGGAAAATACCCGAACAAAGCTGAAGGCCATATATATATATATGTGTGTGTGTGTGTGTGTATGTATATATATGTATATATATATATATGTATGTATGTGTGTATATGTATACACACACACTCTCTCTCTCTCTCTCTCTCTCTCTCTCTTACATTCTGTCTCTCCCATAGCAGTCTCCCAAGCCATACTGATGTAGTGAAACCTTCTGGGAACATTGAAATTTTAGTTTTAGAAATAACCGGCAAAAATAATCTCTTCCTTTTCTATTATTATAATTGTCCAGAGTAGGCCTATTTAGGAAGACCCTTGAGTTTAACTCATTGTTTAAAAGGCATAAAAAGAAGTAAATTATGCTTGGATGTCCCTCTGAGTAACCATATTTAGGCCTGGATACGTAAGTTGGATGCCTGGTGAATCTGAGCTAACCATGTCTTTCTAACTAGGTTTGTTATTCACCAACTATTGCAACCAGACTAAAAGTGGGTTGATATTGAACATGCCCCCCCTTAGAAGAAAAAAAACCAGGGTACAAATAGAAGTATTATATTTCAGATGTTCAACTGTTTATCTCTATTTAAATACATAAGGTCCTTTCAAAAGGTCAGGCTTGAAAACATTTATCTGGTCTGATTTGTGTTGCTTAAGGTTGACAAAAATGTACATTGAATTTCCTAATGAAAAGATCACGTGTTGGTTTATAGACTCATGACCTCAAGTCAGTCCCTTTGAGACCGCAGATCTGTATGTTCGTTTGAAACTGCATTCCCAAAATAGTAGCTCAACCTGTACAATTATTTTAAAACCCTGAATACAGATTGTTAAAGACATCTCAGAAGTGCCTGAGGCTCTTTTCTCCAAAAGAGCATTTTAAAGGCTGCCCAGAATATCTCACGGTTTTAGTTGTTATATTTTCATATCCTGAAGAATGCTCAGTTTCGTCCTTTAATTTTTGGTATATCTGGTTCCAGAGTTATTAAACAGATGAAAACATTTTCAGTTTTACCGTTATACGCATTAAAATGCAAATTATCTGACTAAGGTAGCACACGTATGCTGACTATAAATTAGATGCACAAACATCATGGAATTGTTTCCAGGATCTGGGTTAACACATACTAGCCTTAAGCCATACATGGATTGCTTATGGCATTGCATTCCGTTTCAACGTTCACGAATGAAGGTGAATATACCTGTTCCAGGATAATGTTGCAGGATTCAATCTGGGTCGGTCGCCAGGATCAGAGGTTTTGCCTTCTGAGTTTTCGGAGTCATGCTGGAGCCCAGGGAACCTTTCCTCTCCTTCTTCAGGGAACTTCTCTTTAGGCTAGAGAGAAGATGAGCTCTAGCACAAATCTGAAATCTCAGAAGACAAAATCTCTGGTCCTGGTGACCGATCCAGATTAGATCCTGCAGTTTCAACATTAGTGTTGAACACAAATGCTTTTGGCCACTTTAAAGAGATGGTATGCAGGTAAGTATCAGTTTCTTGACCAAGGGAGGCAGCTTTGCCCTAAGAGTTTCTGTGGTCACGTCATGTGGCCAGCCTGGCTGTATGCCAATGGTGCACAGGATGCTGTTACCTCACCACCAAAGTGGTACCTATCAATCTATTTGCATTTGCATGCTTTCCAACTGCTAGGTGGGCAGAAGCTGAGGCAGAATCAGGAGCTCACCCTCCACAGGAGGTCTCCAACCAGACACTCAGCTTTCCAGCTGACAAGCTGACACAGAACAGCAACTTGCAAAAAAGGAGCAGACACACCACCAGCGTAAGCACAGGGAAGAGTAAGGATTATGTCCTCCAGAAACCCACTTGGTTACCATGCTGGGATCCCTGAATTCCTTTTCTGCCAGATCACCTGTTGGCAGTTCCCTGGGGTTATAATAAAGTCTCTTCTAAAAGAACTTTTAACTCAGGTTGGACAGTAGGCGGGGAATACACCCTTCGTCTTGCAACCCGAGTCCCCCAATGAACCACTTGATCCAGAAGGAAGCGCCTGGGTTAATGCCAAAGAGGCAGCCCCATAAGCACTATCCGCGGAAAGGCAAACAGTTCAGCCGCTCCAACTTTCCGTTATTTTCTCCCCTTCCCCTCCTGGCTAAAGAAAAGGCAAGAATGGAGGGAAAACAAAAGGGAGTTGCCCACGAATGAACCCAGTGAAGAACCGAGAAGGAAAAGCCTCGCGCTCTCCCCCTTGGAAACGGATCTAGGTCTTTTGAGAGGCGACTGTGTGGAGGCCCTGGGTTGTTTCTTGGTTATTTTTGTTTTTAATAGGGTCACTTTCTTTGGCAGGGGAATTGTTTACTCGCTGCAAATGTCAGAGCACTGCAACGGCCTCCCTTCTGAAAAGGATCTTCTGGCTCGAGCAGGGCGGCTGAGTGACTCGCAAGCGCGAGTCTCTCTCCCTCTCTCGGCGCTAACACGTGTGTGGAAAGGGAGGAGCGGGAAGCGCTTGCTCTCTTCCACCCGCTTCCAACACCCCCACCACCACCTACCCGCCCTATTACGGCAACTTGTTCCTTTGCAGGCCGGTTAGCGGAGAGGCGCCTGGAGGAAGCAGGGTGGGGGTGGGAAGAGGAGGGAGACGGGAGACCGCCAAAAGCCCCCTAACTTTGCTCTGCCCCCCCTTTCTCTCTTGTTCATCCGCGAGCTGGTTGCAGGGCTTGCGCCGTGAGGCCGGGTTTCCAAATCAAAAAAAATGCAGCACCGAGGCTAGCTAGAAGCTGCCGGGCTGTCAAGAAGCAAGCAAGGTAAGCGAGCAAATCGCTCCGGCTGGGCTCCGCTTGCAGCCCGGGGAGGCAGGCGAGCGCTTTTAAGGCACACCGTGCAAAGAGCTTTGCGTAGTAGGCCGACGGCTGGGTGACTTCCCGGAATGGTCCCTCGCGTTGCGGCGGCCGCAGCGGGGCCTACTGAGCGCGGGAGTTTTCATCGGAGATCCCCGCCTCGACCGGGCCTCGGTGGAAAAAAAGCCTGTTGATTTTCGGCGGGGACAAGGACCCCAGACCGAATCGGGTGTCTCTCTTTCCGCTTGCTTGCCTGAGGAGGAGCCGCATGAGCCTACTACATCTTCCGCTTTGCTGAGCCCCGTGGGCGGTTGCAGCTTGGAGGGAAAGGTGCCGGTATCAGGGAGATGCTGACTCCTCCTCTCCCCCCCCCACCCGCCTTCTTTCCCTTTCCCTTCTCGGCTCGGGCGGGAGCAGGCGGTACAGTGGAGCCGGCGCCCGGATCGGAGGAACGGGGTCCCGGAGGAGGCATCGCGAGGGTCGGTCTGGTTGCGTCCTTTCTGGCTTTCCCCAATTTCTTCGCGCGCCTGCTTGCGGGTTTGATGGCTGGGATCGGGGCCCGGTGAGGCAGCAGAGAGAGAGAGAGAGAGAGAAGGGGGCACAGGTGGTCTCCTCACCGCCTGAAACCTGTTGCGAATGGCCAGAGCTTATGTAATTGTTGAGGAGGCTCCGATCCTGTGCAGAAGTGCCCTGCTTTCACTTTTTTTGTCACAGCAGAGACTCCATTTGCAGGCCAAAAATTGTGGCCGAGCTGGTGTTCCCCTGGCGAAGAAATGTGTAAGGTTTTATTTGTAGTAACAAAAAAAAGGGACATTCATACACCATGCTTCTACTTCAAGGGTCTGAACATTAGTTGCGTTCTGAGCTTACTATTTTGGTGGCTGTTTTTATACTCCCAAGGGCCTGGGGACTTGTGTGATGTAATAACAGGACTCAAAAGGGTCAATCACCTATGACCCCCTGTAATCTAACCAGCATGGTATATAATATTGGGTTTGGGCTTATCATCTGCACGCATAATGAGGATGAGGTCATGTCTTTCATTTGAGAAAGAAATAGTTCATTTGCTAACAAATTACAAAAAGGTTAATTCCTGCTTTGAGGCTTTTGGTCTTTTTCTCTCCTCAATTGCAGTACCTGAGTGGTTTTTCTTGTTGTCAGTTTGGATATGCTAAATACACAGTGGTTCTTTTGCCATTGTTGACTTACTACTGGAGAGGACACTTGGTTAGGGTTATTAGAAGTAAATGAACAGATGGCAGGCCCCACCATTAGTCAGAGGGAAATGGTCAGTCCAGTACAGCAGATGCTTGAGGTAGAGAGAAATGGACAAGTGTAAAAAGCAGTTGAGAATAGACCATTCAATCTGTCCTGAGTCAATGTAAGTTGGAAGCAGGTATGACTAGAACATAATTTAAATTAGGAAAGATTTCTGAATCCAGTTTTTCTATAAAAAAAAGGATGAAGCGAAAAATTCCTTCCTAATTATTATCCCACCATTTTTATATATAATTCAAAGGAGTAAGCATACCTAATAGTTCTGCCTATTTTCCCACTAACAATCACGCTGAGGTGGATTAGGCTAAGAAAGAGGGATGAAAAAAAGTTAGGGTAGATTTCTATTTGCAAAAACTTGAATTTTTTTTTATTAAAAAGATCTTAAGTAAAAAAGGATGCTGAAAAAAACCCAGTGGCAAGTTGCTTTATTTTTGCCAAAATAATATAACAAGTAGACTTTCAACAAGTCTTTGAAATATCTTTTTAAACCTTCGGATAGGTCTCTGACAAACTATTTTTATTGCTTCTTAGCATGATTGTAGGATCTTATAACAAGATAAGACCACTTGCATATTTCTTAGGTGAACGCTTGAAGATTTGGCTGCTGGACAAGGAAGTAAAATATTTTGGGTTAATTATTACAATGAATGTGTAGATGATATATTGATAAATTAAACTTCTTTAATTAGTTAATTCAAGGGTGTTACCTAGGTAAGAAGCCAACCCACAAATGTTTTATAAATGACAACAAGGATCAAAGATAGTTCACTTTATTTCCTGTCCCATTTTATTTTAAATTTTGGCCTTTTTTGGAAGATTCTGAGGTGAAGTTTATTTTGCCTGTTTGATACCTGAAAAATTACATGTTTTATGCCCATTGCAGTCCTAGATTTTGGAATCTCATTTCAGGTTCCTAGTTTATTTTTATAACACTTTATTTCAATAATAAAATTAAACTCTGAATAATAAGAATGGTCTCATTCTCTAATTATTTTCAAAAATTTATTTGAATTTTTATTGCTAGGAGTCAGATTAAGATCAGAATATAAAAAGTTATTTAAAAATTGGAGATGTGCAGATGAAAATCCTCTAACATAAGTTATTTCTGCCTTTATCTCTCTTCTACTGTTTATATGCTGAAAAATATATTTTTTAAAGAAAGCCAGTATTTCTTGATGATACTTAAATATAAAAAGTTTCCACTAGTATAATTCCACAGGTGTGAGTAGCCATCAAGAAGATGTACTTACTTATAAATATTGTTATTGTTGAGGTCACCATATTGATCTTGAACAACTTTACCCAATTTACTATCACGTGGATATGTTGTATTATATTCCTGTGTTCCCCAGCTAGGATAGACAGTGGGTATGATGGATTACGATATTCATGCCAGTCTAGGATCCAAGACTTCCCTTGCTGGAAAAGGGAAGTTGCTTCCCAGGTGGAATTATGGGCTGCTGGCGGAAGAGTTGCTGTATTTTCTGTCACCATGGTAATCAATAACTGAGGTCAGTAATGCAAAGGAATTGTATTACCATGGTAAAACAAGCTTACTTCCTGGGCCAGCTCCAATAGGATATTCTAGGGGAGGCAAGTTATGGGATTGACAACTCACCTGTAATTACCTAAAGATGAAATGCCAAGTGCTGAATTCTCGGTGGCCCCTGTTGTGGTGAGAAAGCAGTAACACTTACGTATGTATAAAGGCAGAGGTAGGGAGTAGGCCTCCTTTGTGGTTAGACCAGACAGCTGGAGAATCCATGGTTGAGACCTCAACCCTGAGGCTTTGATAATATACAGATATGCTGCTCTTTGAAAATAGAATCAAGTGATCAATTAGTGAAGAGCAACTTTTAAACATCTTACTTTGTAGGAATTCAAAGCATTTGAGAACTAGTTATTTTAATGAGAGCTAGTTTTGTGTAGTAGTTAAGGCACCAGAATAGAAAATGGGAGACCATGAATTTTAGTTCTACCTAAGGCTTATAGCCAGCTGGGTGATCTTGAGCCAGTTACTCTTGCTGTGCCCTAGGAAGGAGGCAATAGGAAATCACTTCCAAGATACATTGCCAAGAAAACTGCAGGGACTTGTCCAAACAGTCACCAGGAATTAATACTGACTCAAAGGCTAACAACAAGGTTATTTTTACAAAGAAGTTCAAAATCATACTTACAGTCTTTTGGAAGCCACGTGAAGCAGGAGAGTAGGAGAATATTCACTTTCCATGCGTTCAGAATGACGAGTGACCAGATACTTGTGCAACTCAAAGTTAGCACTAACAAACATGGCTGCTATATCGCTGCTTATTTCAATGTTTGATTCGTAATGAATGACTTATAATTCTTATTATCCAGAATGAAAGAAAAGGCATGTCCATGACAGCGTTTCATAACAGTAAATATTTTCAAATGTTTAGAACTAAATCTACCCATATACTTGTATAGAATCATGTCTTATGATATTCCTTAAGCAGAAAGTTTAAAGTTACATCAGACATATTAATTACCTAGCAGCTGCCTCCTTGTGCCCTTTCCCTCTTTAAACCTTCCCTTTGGCCTGTTGAGGTTTTTTTTTTTTCCTCACACCCCTGTTCCTTAGGGAACTGACAGAATAATATGAGATCGTTATTTGCTAAGGCTTGGATTGCGAAATATTGCACTGTTCATTGTTTTCTGTCAGTCTTAGTGCAGTTCTTCTTGGGAGGGTTGAGAAAACCAACTGTAAATATTCCGCAGTAATGCAACATAACTGAATAATGATAATTAGGATCCTGAATAATGATAATTAGGATCTGTGGTTTTGTAGTGTTATTCTATGAGTCATTTGCTGTGAATGATCAGTACCAATAACCCTAGGGTATTTGTGTTTCTGTGGATATCTGTGAGCAGATTGCTTCTGCATTTAATATCTGTTACCAATATTTTTACTTCAGGAGAATCCATACTTTTCTATGGTATCTATCTTGTTAGATTTTCTTTAAATTCCGCTGGCTTTTCTATTCAGTACCATATCAGAGAGAGAGAGAGAGAGAGAGAGAGAGAGAGAGATGCTCAAAAGCAAGTATAGTGATGCAGTTGGATATTACATTTGGGGACAGCTACCATATAAATACTTGTCCATTCTTACTATATTCTTGAATGACTTTTCATCATAGCATTTTCAATAATATTTTAACAGTGGTATAAGAGGTTGTGATTAGATAAACTTGTATTCCCTTTGCATTCCTGATGCTCAGTTCTTTTATTTTTGCTATATCTACTGTATTTGTGCAAAAGGCATATATTTACTTAGCTTCGGTGGTGGAGTCTCAGCCTCTGCTCTCCAGCTTCTCATTTTTGCCTCTCTATGTGACTTCATACTTCCCAAATTTACATGTAGCAGAGAAGGTTATTTTTTATTTATATGGTTGGTTTGTCTCATAATGTCAAGCCATAAGGTACTTAGTGTTTTGGTCTTAATATTACTGAGTGAAATCAGGAATGATAGTTTATTAACTATCATTCCTGATTTCACTCAGTAATATTAACTTTGATTTATAGCTTGGCATGTTATACAAACACAGCTTATAGTTTGTTCAATTTAACCATGACGTAGCAAGCCATGCTTACTCCAACTTGACACTTATGTAGAAGTTTTAAAAGCTTAGTAGTAGAAGCTTAACTGCTCTAGAGATCTAGGGAAGATGTAGAGTTGACTGCTATACATTCCGTAGATCAGGGGTAGGGAAACTTGGCTCTTTTATCACTTATGGACTTCAACTCCCAGAATTCCTGAGTGAGCCATAAAAGTTTCCCCATCCCTGGCCCACTGGTTTTTCAGTTGTGGGAGAAATCAATTTTTGACTTGAATGGGACTGTTTAATATACAAATGTAGCCCTAGATCTAAACTTCTGAATAACTATGGGTCGATTAGTGGGATTAGAAGGTATCAAAATCTTCATCATAAAAAAGGTGAACAAGTTTGGGATAAAACAATTCTATAGCTTGTTTTATTTATTTGGAAGTAAGTCCTAACAGATTTTGGCAGGCTTATTTTCAAGGATAAGCATATAACAATTTATAGCCTATCTTGCAGTATTTAACATGAAACTCAATAGGACCTATAATAATAAATCCTTTGCTATATTGATGTTTTGTTATATATTGATATATAACCTTTTAATTATAAAAATAATACTTGCTGGAATCATTGTGGAT